TAGTTATTGACTAGCAATACGCTATAAACGTCCGAGGAGTGCAAGCCTACTTAAAGTTTTGCAACTTCTACCGCCGATTTATCAAAAGTTATAGCCGGATCTGCAAGCTCTTAACTGATCTGATAAGAAAAGACGTCTTATTCAAGTTCATACTAGAGTGCGAGGACGCATAGCAGAAGTTGCGAAACGCTTTGCAAAACGCTCTTATCTTTTGCTATTACGACCTTGCAAAGCAAACACGGCTAAAGACTAATTCATTAGACGGCGTGGTCGCGGGAGTACTCTCACAACTTTAAGAAGACGGTTTCTACTATTCTATAAGGTTCTTCTCTAAAGCAATGATCGACGCTAAGCTTAACTACCTTATACACGACAAAGAACTCTTCGCAATATTCAGATCTTTTTAAAACTACAAACCGGAGCTTATTAAAGCGCAAAAGCAAGTTTACGTTTATATAAACCATAAAGCTTTAAAATATTTCATGACGACGAAAGATTTGACAGCACGCTAAGCTCGATAAGCGGAGTTCTTTTTTGAATTCTACTTCCTTATAATATTCCGTAACGGTTCGACGAATACTCTCGCTGACATCTTGTCCCGCCGTAAGCAAGACTTCTCTCTATTAAAGGCACGCTAAAGAGCATTAAAGAAACAACAACTGATCTTTAACGACAAAATCGACTTTGACATTTTAAAAGAAATAGCTTCGCCGGCATTTAAGCAAAACACGCCGTTCTTTTACGACACTGTATTAGCAAAAGGCATATATTGCGGCGAAAACACAAGGTTAGCTTTAATACAAGTAGAGGCGTCGGAAGACGAAGAACTGAGCGGAGAGCCACTTGATCTTATATCACAAGTAGCGTATGACATCGCCGAGTACGATATCATCGATAAAGTCTTATAAGCAAACGCAACGGCTCCGGAACTCTAAGAAATAAAGGAATATATCGAGACGGATTTAAACTACACTTTGACAAACGGAAAAATCTATTTTTAAAGTAGACTAGTAGTACTAATCAATCTTCTAGAGCTTCGCACTTGCCTTATTCGGCACATACACGAGCAACTATGTGTAGCTTACGCAAGCGTGACAAAAACAGCCTAGCTAACGCAACGCAAATTCTATTGGAAAGGCTTTAATGCAGACATCAGACGCTACATAGCTAATTGCAGGTGCGCTCGAATGAAGGTCAAGCGCGATAAAAAGCCAAGATTCTTATATCTATTACCGATCTTAGCTCGCTTTTACTAACACTTGACAATGGACTTCATTAAGTGCTTCTTAAACGAGCAAGGCTACGACTCGATCTTGGTAGTAATAGACAAGCTCTTAAAAAAGCTTATATCAATCTTTTGCTATAAAACGACTATAGCTAAGGACCTCGCACAGCTATTCTTAGTGAACTGGGTCCGTCACTTTAGCATGCCAGACTCTATAGTCTCTGATCGAGGCCCTTAGTTCGTCTCAACCTTTTAAGCCGAAATTTGCCGTATACTAAAGACGAAGATCAAGCTTACAATAGCATACAACTCGCAAGCGGACGGGCAGACAGAAGTGATGAACTAATATATTAAGCAACGCTTCCGCTTATTTTGCACATACTACCAAGACAATTAGAGCGAGCTCCTTTCTCTTATAGACATCGCCTAATTGACTTTGCCTTATGAGTCATTAAGTGAGCTGTCCTTTTTCGAAGTTGAGAATAGATATCAAGCGCGCTGCTTTTAAGATATAGTCAATCCGAGCCCCTCTTTTTCGGCTACAAAGCGATTGAATCAATAAAAAGCACATAGCGTAGCTACTAAAGCTCGGAGTGCTATCGAGTTCGCTTAATCTTCGATTGCAAACTAATAAGCTAAGATGGAAAAGCTAGCTAACGCTAAGCGCCGTTTAGTAAACTAGGACGTCGGAGACGATGTGATGATCGATATAAAAAACTAGAAAATGAACCGACCTTTTAAAAAGCTCGGGGATAAATAGTACGGGCCAGTCAAAGTTACTAAAAAGGTAAGAGAGAGTTGGGAAGTTAAACTACTACTAACTTGGAAGATTCATCTTATATTCTATTCTTATTCATTACGAAAGCATACTACAAACCTATTGCCAAGCCAAGTAAGACTTCAACTAGCGCTAATTCAAATACTACTTGACTAAGACGAATAGGAAATCGAACAAGTCTTGGCTTCCCGTATATACAAAAGAGCACTTTAATACCGAATACAATAGGTTAAAGCAGACGAAGACCTCGAATAGTACCCGTGCTCGGACGCGATGACAGCACTTTAAATGCTTAAAAGATTCCATTTAGCGCACCCAACAGCAAAAGGGCCGCCGAAAGCACTACTACTGTGGCTAGAGGCTTATAATCAAGGACGAGATGATTATAGTAACCTTGAAGACGACAGACTAATGACACAAACTGCGAGGACGCAGTTTTTCGAAAAGGGGGGGTGATGTTACGGGCGGTCACGCGGAGGTCACGTTGCTACGCGCCCAGGGTCACACGTTACCTCGTGACCTTGGGCTCCCGTCTTGGCAAGGCAGCCTACAAGACCTCTTCTTCTGCACTCGTTCTCTTCCTTTCCTTCTTTATCTTTCTTTCTCATTACCCAGCGTACTCTTAGGTAGCACTACAATCATACTGCCTTCGACAGCCGTAACACTTACGAACCTTAAGCTTTTTTTCCTCTTTCTCTCTTGCGGTAGAAAGAGAGATAGAAAGTCTAGAAAGCCGAAATTAAATTATCGAAATGCGACGTCCGTTCGACGAAATCTTTTTTTACCGGCGGTTCCGAACTTTTTTTTTTTTTTCTTCTTTTCGAACACTACGCCGACTATAATTTATATTTAACGAGTATATCAATTAAAAAGACCAAGAGGAATTTGCGATAACAAAAGGAACGGGTGTAAAATATAAGATAAAAAAAGGTTTAATTCGATTAATCGAAAACACGGTATTGCGCTTTCGAAAGAGCGTTTTGCAAACTCATCGGCTTTATTTAAAAGCTACGAACGCGAGCCTTTTCAGCTTTACGACGAAAGAAAACGATGTTTGTACTATACGGATCGAGGCCGCTCGTAAAGCTGCTATACGTATTCGACGGTAATCAAAAGAAAACTCGACGCATGATATTATAAATTGCTTTCAAAAGGTTAATAAGTGTTTAGCTATTTGACGAGAGCTTTTCTTTAACACAGTTTTAATTCTCGATTAAATAGACTTTATATATAGTTCCTTTACTTAGCACGTCGCCGTACCTTATAAGAGGTCCTTAAGGTCCAAGCATTGCGTTTTGAATACCCGCTCGACGTTAATAAATATAATAACAACAACAACAACAACAACAACAATAACCGTACATCAAATCAGCACCTCCAAAGCGAGCCAGTAAATTTTCCTCTTCTACATATAATAAACATAACATCCACCAACCAACACATCGTATTATCTCTATATAAAAAGATGCACCATACCAAGTCCAACATCAACCAACCAATCCACAAATCAAATTTTAAATGACAAACTGTCAATCCTCTATCATGCTAAAGCAAAGTAGTAAAAACAGTACTTTTAGATACCTTTCGACTTTATTAGTGCGTATATATATATAGATAAGAAGTGCTATCTATCGATGTAAATGCTAGAAGAGAAGCGAAGAATGCCAAAACCAGACTTCTATTCAAGCCTATGAGGAGAAGAAATACGTGCTTCACTATCAACTTTTATCTGTTCACTAATACCTTCAGGGATATCATAGATTAAATCAATCATTTATTTCCTATACATGGGTTTACGTTTTTTTTTTTTTTTTTTGTTGTTTTTTTGTTTTTTG